AGATGAAAGGGGAGAGCCAGAAGGGTGAGTGACAAAGGTTATCAGAGCCCACCCACCCTCCCCCGGGACAGTGACAGGAACGAATGACCGGGGTGACAGAACAATCAGACAACTCTTCCTGGTGGCTCCGTGTCCCCTCGCTGCCCCTTCTCTGCTCCAGGACAGAAGTGGCTCCCAGGAGGCTTTCATAGAAACAAGTCTTGTGTAACAGGCCTGGCTCCTCGGCATCTATAATGGATGAGGGTGTGGAGGCCGAGGACCTCAGTCTGGGCCTGCCAAGTGCGGGGGCGGGCGGACTGAAGATCTGCAGGAGGTGGTAAACACGGGCCTCCCATGTCCTCCAGGGACCAGGGCCTTTCATGACTGAAGCCCCAAATCTGAGCCCTGACTGGGATCTGCTTCTCAAGTGTTCCTCAGAGCATGGTCGAGAACACCCCAGAAAACCCCTTTGATAAAGGAGAGGCTAGTTAGGTGAGCAGTGGACGAGCCCCACAGAGCTCTCCGCTGTGCTAGGGCCTTCACGCCTGAGTCTGCATCTCATCCACAGCACTCCCCGGCCGTGTGACTTGGGCAGGGTGCTTAGCACTCAGTACTCCACTTCCCCCCTTCACACAGTGCAGCCAGTACCGGCGACGACCTCACAGTACGAAAGAAACCAAACCGAGTAAAGGGCATGCAAATGATGTGAGCACATTCCACAGAACCTCAGCTTTCTCATCTATGAAATGGGAACACCACTGCCTCCCTAACAGAATGGTGAGAATGAAATGGGATTCTCTAGAAAATCCTCAATACGCAGTGTACCTCCGTCTCCAAACCTGGGTCACCCATACCTGCTCTGCAATGTTATCCGGCCTAATCTGTCCTTGTGTTCATGACAACTGTCACATTTCCCCAAGGCAACAGGCAACAGGTAACTGAGGCAGGTGGACGACCGTGATCCCTGTGAGAGCTGACCCGGTGAGTCCTCCGACGCCCCCTCTTCCTTCCTGCATTCAGTGGGTCAACTCTCTGAAGACTGCCAGTCCCCTCTCGTCTTTAGAAAGGAGGCGATCTGCCCCACCCAGCCCCACCCCCTGGTCACCCAGTGCTCAGTGCAGAGTCTGACAGAATGGGGGGGGGGGGGAGGCTAGGCTGGGCCTCCACCACCTGTTATGTGACCCTTCGGAGCCTCCAGGACAAAACCGGATCACACAGGTTCCCAGCACTGCTGACTCGGGTCTGCATTCCTCTCTCCTTCCTTCCCCTTCCGCCCCACCATCAAGTGTTTAGAAAAGGCCTCCTGAAGCTCAGCTGGGCTGTGATGTACCAGTTAGCAGAGGATGACCTTGAACTCTTGACCTTCTGCCCCCTAAATTCTGGGATCAGAGTGTGTGCCACCACAGCCAGCTTGATCTAGGAGCCTGAAACTGTCCACTGGGTGAATGACCAATGGAGAGACTATGCTGGTCTTTCTGCAGCAAAACTTGGCTCCCCACCTCTCCTTCCTCAGGATTTCGAGGACCCGGAAGACGGCAGGAGGGGGGCAGAGCTGCTTAGCTGGGCAGCGGCAGGAGCTCAGCCGCAGTAACTCCCCAAATGCGGCTGGGTACATGCAGGAAAGCCAGCCCAGCCCCACCCATCCTGGGCTGCTGGTCCAGGACACACCGTCTCTTGGTATCTAAGTGTCACACACAGGTCCTCCTCCATCACCTGGGGATGAGGGAGATACTTCTGCATTGACACAGGGGACTCTGAGGGCCAGAGAGTGGCAGAGGCATAGGTAGGGAATGTCCTCCCCGGAACCCGGCCACAGCAGACAGGTTGGTGTAGCGGAAACTAGGAGATCCACAGGCCATCTGGGTTCCGGTCTTAACGCCATTGAACTGTGTGAGCCTGGTCCAATGGCTCAACCTCTCCGTACTTCAGTTGCCCCGGCCCTCATAAAATGAGAGCTCTAGACTCATCTCGTTCATAAACTTGTAATCTCCTCTCTACCCTAAACAAAGAGAACGTGGCTTCTCTTGAACTCTTCAAGGAGCCAAGCTTTGGGACATTTCCCAGCCACCTCTGCCCCAAATCCTCTCCCTGAAACAGCAGGGCAGGTACAACTGGCTCTCCGACAGCCAGAGACACAGGCAGGCTCTGGTGTCGGGGGTGCTGGAGGCTGCACAGCATATCGGGGTACAGTTCCAGGGTTCCCAGCTTGGCTTTGATCCTGTCTGGCCGGAAGCTTAGGGACAAACTGTGGTACAGACGTATAAAAGTTCAAGGGGAGAGGAGATGTGTGTGAATGAAAGGAGCCTGTGAGCAAAGCCCTAACAGGGTGCAGGGCTGGTGCAGCCCCTCCCTCGGGGCTGTGAGAAGGCCACCATGGGCCCCCTCTGACGTGGGAAGAAAACGCTCGGAAGATGTAGAGAACCTTCTTTTCATTGTAAGACAAAGAATCAGAAGCCCAGGGAGGGAGTTTGGCTTGTCCAAGGCCACCACACTGAGAAGACAGACCAGGGTTCAAACCACGGCTGAGAATCCAGAGCCTGACATGTGGCCTGTCTGTCCATCACTCCACAAGGCTGGGAGACCGTGAGCCCTGGCCAGCCAAATAAAGTAAATGCCAACCCACCTTGTACTTCAGTCCGGACTTGAAGTAGCCGAGGAAGGTGGATGACTCAAAGCCCTGGACCTCACGGTGCTGCACAGCCCGGCCGTTCAGATAGTCATCCAGCTGCACGGTAAAGATGGCGGCTGCCCCGCTCTCATCCTGGCTGCACTCGTTACCTGGGGACGTTGGGGGGGACGTCAGGGCAGCATGGGGCCAGCGTCTGGAAGCCTTCAGGGAGGAGGCATCCAGAGCCAACAGCTCTACTCTGGCCTGGCTATAGAAACTGAGCGAGTCCCTCCCTGCTTTCCAAGAGCCTCAGTTACTCCATCTGTATAATGGGGTAACCCTAAAACAGACCAGAGCCAATGTTAGAGACTCTATGCTCCTAACTGTGAAGAGTAAATGAAGGAGTGATTGGAGCTGAGCCAGGGAAGTGCAGGGGACCCAGGGTCCCCGTCACCTCGCATAGCTTGTTTTACATCTTGGGAGGTAGCACAGCTGTCAGCATGTCCACTTGATAAAAAACACTGGGGAGTTACTGAAAGGCAGACCACAGGTCAAGGGGCAGAGCTGGGACCTGAACGTGGCCAGGCTGGCTCTAGACTGTAGTGGCATGGAACCACTAACCAAGGCCTGACATACGGATCACCGAGTTCAAAGTGTCCAGGTACATCCACGCTTTGGGTGGTGGGTGGTGGGGTGAGCAGGAACACGTACTCACCCAGCCAATAGTGGAGGTCATACTGCAGATTCCCATTCCTCAGCTGCACTGTCTTCAGGATGACATACGCATCACCCGTGAAGAAGTCTCCATAGAGGTTGGGGGGCACAGGTACCAGGTCAAACTTCTCCACACGCCAGATCTGCAGGCCAGGCTCCTTCCCTGCCTTGAGGAACTCGGGGTGCTCCACCACCATGGTGCTGGGCTGCAGAGAGACAGGGCAGAGCCTGAGCAGGGGTGTGGGTCTCAGCAGGGAGAGACCCCGGCAGAGGGAGGGCAGGTTCCAGCACCAGGAGTGACTCACTTGAGCCTCCTGCTCTCCTGTGGTGGAGGAGAAGCAGCCCCTTTCTGGGAGTTGAGGTACTAATCCTCAGCCCGGCTAGGCCAGTCTGCCTCCCACTCTGCTCCCTCACTTGTTTATTGTTATGGAGGAGGCAGAGAGCTCCCCTCCCTTTGTTGACAATGGGACAGCTAAGGCACAGGAAGGCAGGACCCTCGGTTAGGGAAAAACACAGAGGGTGTCCCTGGGCTCCCGGATGGCGGTGGCAACTCTCCCGGTCCCCAGAGACTCTGCTCGCTTTCTTCCAGCACCTTCTTGGCTTGGAACTCATCATTCACCCCTACTCGGCAAACAGGTAAACTGAGGACCAGAAGGAAAGGGGCCTGAGCCCGGGTCACATGGCCTTTTTGCGTTTGCTCTTTGAAACAGGGAAGATCACTTCAGGCCCCTCCATCTTCCGTCATACCCTGAGAAAGGATTGGCTTGGTGGGCCCAAGTGGCCTCCTGCGCTGTCCTGCCTCCTTCCTCCTGCCCCACCCCAGAACCCAACCCATTTCCACGTCTCGGAAAAGGGGGAGGGATGGAGCCTGAAGTCTGCAGGAACCTGTTAGGAGGAGAAGGGTGAGGGTGGGAAAGGCTGCCAGGCATGCTCGGGGGTGGCGGGTGGCGATGGGACAGAAGGTTAGGCGCCTAAGGATGGAAGTCAGCAGGTCACCTTGGCCAGAAGGAGGTCTGGTAGGAACAAAAATCAGGCCGGAGAAGTTAGAGGAACTCAGATAAGTAGAGGAGAGCACGAAAGGAGACGGCAGGTGGGTGGGGCGGGGGAGACGAGACCACAGTCAAGGTCGAGAGGAGAGAATAACAGTCATGTCCGTAGTATCCATAGGGAAAACGGGGAGGGGTATCAAATAAGGAGGAATCCGACAGCGAAGTAAGGCAGACACAAGAAATTAGACATGGTAAAGGAGGTGGGAACCGAATCAGTAGTGGGGGAGAGATTAAGGTGAGGTTAGCCTGCAGGGAGGGAAACAGCCTTGGCCCGGGGCCCCACCCTCGCCCCCAGGAGCCCCGAAGCAGCAAGACATACTTACAAAGCAACAAAACAGTTTTTCCATTCTACACCTGAATTACTCCCCTTTTCCTAGCGCTGTATCTGCAAGAACTTACAATAGACAATTACTCGGGGAGCCCCGCGGAGCCTGGGCACTCACCCGCGCCTCAGACGCCCGACTTTGGGGCGCCCTCACTCCGGCCGCGCCCCGCACCCCTGTGGCCGCACGGGACGGCGACGGTGCGCACAGCGCCAGGACCAGCGCGCAGAGCACAGAGAGGTTCGGAGCCATGGCGACGGTGAGGACCCAGGCTGCGGCCGCGGCCCCGCGGTCGCCCCAACCTTTAAGTAGCCGGCCGCCCCATCCCTCCCTAGCTGGGGACCGCCCCGCAGGGAGGGCCTTGTGGCCCGCGGGGGAGGCGGGGATCTGTCCTGGATCTCCGAGACATCTGGGTTCCCACACCGACCCGAATGGGTGCGGTCGCCCCTTGGACCCTTGTTTCCAAGCGAGAGATCGAGAGATCGGTATTTGGTCTGACATAGAGCAGGGGCTAACACGGGGAGAGCTGTTTTTCTCTGACCCGTGCAGGTGCTATTAGCAGGTTCAACAAAACTAAACAAACAAAACAAAACAAAACAAAAGAACCACCTAGCACGAACTAACCGAACTAACCGTTTGTGGAGCTTTCTATTCAAAGGGTCATAAGAGAGCCCATTTCACAGAGGGGGAAACGGTGCAGAAGAGTTCAGGACTGGCACAATCCCAAGAAGAGGACACCTAATACAGTGTTGTCAAGCCCTGTCTCAGGTAGTTCTGGGTCTGGACATCTGGGCTCACGGAAGAACTCCGGCTCCCCATCAGTAGAGAACTCTTAAGTCTCTGGTTCTACTTTTCTCAAAATGGCATTTCTTTTGTTCTTTCAATAACATTTTTGTTTTTTAAAGGGTTTTTGGCAAACCTTAGTCACTTCATTGTACTAAGTTGTTGCCTGTTGACCAGACACACTTGCCTCTGCTGGAGGTGACACTTTTATCTACTCCTCTAGGCTGATGGCACCTCCATCTCCTTCTGTAATAGTTTTCTATTTCAGGCTCTCTATCCTCTCCTGGGGAGCCAGGATTGAGTCTCCCCCACTTCAGCTCGTCACTGGGAAGTTAGGGACCTGGGTTGGACGCCTGCATACTGTGCCTCGGTCTCCTACTGGACACAGAGGTTGCAGAGGGTTAGATCAGGCCTGCTCAGGAAGCCTGGTCTGCAGGTGACGGCGCTCACTCACCCCAGCTCCCTTTGGGGCCTGTACTGCATGGCTTCTTACTGAACTTTGCCCTCTCCCACCCCAATTTCTTCCCACTTAAGGGGGCATAGGTGAAGCCTAACGGGACAGAGGGGGCCGTCAGGACTGAGCACAGCATCCCAGGGAAGGAATGGGCAAAGGGCAGACAAACACAGGTCATGCCCAGTGAATAACAAGGTGACTTAGGGGGGGCAAGCTGTCGAGGAAGGGAGGGTGACCAGGGGCCTTTGTGTAATCCTAAAAACTCAGGATTTTGTCAGGTGTCTGTAGAAGCCTTAGCTCTCTGGCTCCGTGGTGTAGGAAGGTCACCCTCAGGCCTGTGGAGCCCACAGTGGGCTGACTTAGACTCAACTCAGAGCTGATTAAAGCCCACACTGCTCAAATGAACATTCCTGATAGCACAAGCCATTTTAACCTCTCTAGATAACAATTTGATTGTGCATATTCAAAGCACATAATACAGCATTCCCTACAAAATTGCTTGCAATGGACAAGGATATTCATTGAAGCATTGTTTGAAGAGAATTGGAAAGGACCCAAAATGTGCTGGGGAAGTAAGTGATGGATCTGTCACACAAAGGACACAATGTAGCTGGCGGGAGGGTGTCAGTTAGAGCCAACTGTGCCTGGTGGCACACAGTAGGCACTCAGCAGGCCTGGAGAGACCTCCAGGTGCAAGAAGCAACTTGCACAATGATGGTATAGAGTGGCTCCCCTCTTCCTTTCTGTAAGCGTGGAGCTGATGCACAAACCCTTGCAAAGTCAGTAAATGCCGAAGTGTTAAAGCTGTATGCTTGGAAGTGATGAGGAGAGAGATTTCACTCTGGACACTGCCATGGCTGCCTGAGGCTGGAGGAAGTGCTTGGATCACTCACTGTAATTGGCACAAGGAACCTTTCAGGATGATGGAAAAAAATTTAATACTACACCATAATGATGATCATACAACCAGTTCACACCACTGAAAAACCACAGAACTGTTTACTTCAGTGAGTTAACTGTGTGCCAGCAAATTACATCCTGAGACACTCGCTACAAAAGTTTGAAGCACAAGATCTAAAATGTGATGAGAATGTATCCGACATGGCATTGGTTTTGTTTGCTTGTTTAAGAACTGTAGTCTACAAAGAATGCTCTAAGAATATGCGTAAAGGGATACTTGCTCCTTAGCCGACTTGGGAAATGACAAGGAACCTGAGCCAGCAGCTGGGCTGGCCCCTCGGGAGCAGAGCAGCGGGAGCAGCGTGGCCCCAGTTTGTCCAGTTGGTGATTAACAGAAGGCCCATTATGGCTTGGCCTCGACCCCTGGGGTCAGTGACCACCAGCCCAGAGTCTCTGGCCCCAGGTTAATGATCACAAAGGTGGTGTAGCTTTGCTGGCCATGTGGCTTTGGAGCTTGGGCCACAGTGACCAAGGCCCAGCCTCTGCCTTCAGGGACCCTGGAGCCTAGAAACCCTCACTCCAGGGCATCAGTGAATGGAGACTGGAAGGAGCAACTCTCTAATCTCTTCCCTGCCTGGAAGAGGCGTGAGTTCAAGGGATCAAGCGGGCTGAAGTGAAGTGAAGGGGATGCACCAGTGTTAGGGAAGGCTCTGCCATAGACCGCCTGGATGACTGGTCTCCTCTAAGGCCCGTTTCTGGCCCCAGCATTCCCAGATCCTGGCTGCACCATCCTGCCCAGAACCTACTTGCTTCTGAGCTTCAAAGTTCCCATCTGCAAAATGGGGACACCGAACCAGGTCACTTTGACAGGTCCTGAATCAGACCACCTAGGACCCCTGATGTAAGAAGGAGGCTCTGAAATCAGTAATAGCATGTCAGCTCCCCTCGGGATCCAGTGAGTAGTCAAGCCCTGGCCACTGCCATACAGGACCCCAAAGCCTGAAACCCCTCACTAAAGAGCACAGGGCGTGGAGACTCTGATGGGGTAACCCTGCCTTACTCTGTTCTGTGTGGTAGGAATTCAGGGGAGCAAGTGGGTACAAGTGCCAAGGAAAGGAAGACGCACCGATGACAGAGAAACCGACACTCAGGCCGCTCATGTGGAAGGAGGCATTGCTGAGGTTCAAACCCTCATCTGGGGCTCCTGGGCCCCAGTTCTGTCTGGGAGAGGAAGCAGGAGCCCTGGCCCCACCTCAGCAGGGAGCATCGACCCTGTGCAGGAAATGGGTTGCGGTTGCTAAACCAGTCCAAGCCCATGCCAGGCAGGCAGGCAGAAGTCTCTAGAGTAGCTGGCACTACCACATCTCCTAGGTCGGGGCAAGAGAAGGTTCCAGAAAAGCCCTCGAGCCCTCCAGATGCCTGATGTCATCACCCAGGAAAACCACATGTCTAAGAAGACCCCAGACCATGGCCACCGTGTGGAGAAAGACCACAGTACCTCCATTTACTCGGGTCTGGGATGGTTGCTCTGACTTGAATGTAACTCTGCTGTCCATGGATTGTGTGGTGTATTCATCCTAGTCCCTGCTCTTTACTGCGCCTTGGGAACTGCCTTGATCGCCCGTCTTGGCTGTTTGTGAGTTCTGCCCAGTGCCCCTACACATCAGGCATCCTCTCAGTATATGCCACAGGATCCAGTGGCATAGCTCACGTCCCTCTGTAGACCCCTCCCTCCCTGGGTTGGATCTAGGCCCCCATAACCATCTCTTGACCGGTTCTTTTCCCTATGACTAACTTCAAGTCAACCTCTAGATCTCTGTGGGCTGCCGCGGGTGACTACCAGATGAGAGGTCTCACCCTCGCCCTTGGCCACAGTGTACAAAAGGCCTTGGCGGGCTGGGAAGACACCTCCCTGTTCTGTTCCCTCACCCCAAACACAGCCGCTCTCATCTCCCAGGCAGCTAGCCATCACTGGAAGAGCTCCCTCTTTTCCTCCCAGAGCTTGTTTACTTTGGGCCCATTGCAGTGCTCTGGTCCCCCGGGAGCACCCACCCTTCTGGCCTAGGATTTTGCCAGGAGGGACAATGATCAGTAAACAGAGAAGGCAGTTGTGAAACCCAGCGAGAGCAGACAGGACCCGCACATGTTCCGGCAGGCCCCCACGGACTTGAAGGCACAGGCCGCGGCACCTGCAGTTTCCTCATTTTTAAAATGGAACGGAGTTAAAAGTGCCAGTCTCCTGGAATGGCAGGGGACTCCAAGGCCTGACCCACGGCATCTCCCAAGGGTCCCTGGATGGCCTGCTTTCTTCTCTCAGAGGCCTGAGCCCAGCACATTCACACCTACCGAATGGCAGCAGCCTGGAACAGTAGGGTAAGACTACAGACTTAAACGGGACTTGGGCTCAGGTTGGGCTGTGCAACCTGGAGTGGGCGGTTTCCCTTTCTGGGCCTGCAGGTACTCCTTTGTAAATAAGGACAGTAATACCCACCTGAAGAACTATGGGAGCAGACCGAAGGACTGCCAGTAGTGACGGCCACTGGCCTCCCATCTCTTTGTAGATAATACCAAGCAGAAAAAAGTGATGTCTCCAGGCCACTGAGCCAGTGTCCACAGCCCAGACTTAGAACTCAGGTCTGTGGGCAGCCAGGCCAGAGCCAAGGCCTGGGTCTCAGGGAGCAGGGTTCCCTGACATGGCCAACTGGGCCTCTGCCCTGGCCACATCTGTTCTGGGTGTGGCAGCTATTGGGAATATGGCCAGTGGGGCTCGGTTGAATCTATCTCAGGGACTGAAGCCACTGACCCTCTCCCAGCTCCCAGAGCCAGCCCCACCTAGTGTTGTGAGGACATTCTGAGGAGGCCTGGCCCTAACACCTCCTGGCTCTGTGCCCTGGAAGCAACAAGATTTGGCCATGCATGAGTAGCTCAGTCTTTCCTCCCCTGAGGCAGACACTCTAGCCCTGGGAAACTTGAGATTGCTGAGAACTGAGCCCTAGCCCCCCATCCTGCCCCCTACCCTAGAACTGGGGGGCAACCCCTGAGGAGCCCAGACACAAATATAGGTTAATGGCAGGATGAAGGGGCCTAAGCATGGGCTTGGTGACTTGGGGGAAGGGTCAGCAGGAGACTGGGGGGGGGGTGCAGACAGAAGGCGTGGGGTGCAGACAGAAGGCAGGGTCTGAGATGCCCCCGCCAGAGCAGGAAGGGACAGAGACGCTGCTGCGGGCAGCTCTTCAGAGGAAAGATGTGGCCAAGTGACTGGAAAGAGCCCCAACTAGCAAAGTGGGGGAATAAGGTCTACCCCTTAACTAGATGACAGCTCTGAGCAAGCCACCTTGGCACCAGAGCCTCAGTTTCCCTATTGGTAGGGAACAGCTGCCTTGCAGAGGACCTCAGTTTGGTTTCCAGCACCCATATCAGATGACTCACAACCACCTGGAACTCCTGCCCTAGAGGACCTGACACCCTCTTCTGGCCTGCACAGTTAGCTGCACTTACACAACACACACACACACACACACACACACACACACACACACACACACACACACCTTAAAAGTGAAAAAGAGTAAACCTTTAAGAACTGTACCAGGTGAAACACACCGGGGCGCGGCAAGCCTGACACAGGTGAAGCCTGTACAGAGAAAGCGTCAGTTTTTGCTGGGCCAGTTGCCTGGGTGAGTTTCTGTCTCTCTAATCTTTTTACGTGTAAATTAGAGGCCCAAAGGCCTTTCCCTGCCACGTATGATGGTGTGTACCTGGAACACCAGTGCTCACCAGAGAGAAGCAACTTGGAGGAGGGCAGCCCGGTTTACATAATAAGTTACATAATAAGCTCACCCAGGGCTAGCTAGCAAGACCGGATTTCAAAACAAACAAAATGTGTGTGTGTGTGTGTGTGTGTGTGTGTGTGTGTGTGTGTGTGTGAGAGAGAGAGAGAGAGAGGGGGGGGGGAGGGAGGGAGGGAGGGAGGGAGGCAGACAGGCAGACAGGCAGACAGGGTTTTTCATATTTATAAAAAGCGAGCTGTCTAAGAGACATCTGCATGTCCATGTTCATAGCAGCACTGCCCACAACAGTTACAACAGGGAAGCAAGCCAGCTGTTCATTAATAAATGAGTCCACAATCGACAAACACATCCAAACAGAGGAACAGTTTTAAAAGATCACACTCTGCTATAGGGATGAACCTCAAGAAGCATCAGATGTATAGGAACATACAGTGAAGGGATAGTTGTAAGTGGAATGGAAACGTAGGCTATTGTCCAAAGAGGGCAGAGCTTCAGTTTGATGAACCAGCCTGCCTCCATCTTGGGCGTTAAAGCCATCTTACAGTAAAGATAAACCAGGTCCATTCCTGTTTATGATTAAATCTGTTTCTCAAGGACTGGGCTCTGCCCACCTGTAACCTTCTAACTACAAATGGTTCTGTGCTGCCTTTTCCAGGAAACAGCAACCATGTCTTCGTTTCAAAAGTTGTAATCATCTTGCAACCCTACCTTTGTTTCAGAAGGTTATTAAGACTACCTGTTGTTATGGCTACCTTGTTAGGACCACCTTGCAATCATGTCTTTGTTTCAGATGTTATGACTAAGTTGTGTTGTAGAACATGATTTTAAGGTGTGTTACTTTTGTTTATGTTGCATTTGTTTAACTCTGTGATGCTGTGTTACTGTGCCTGTCTAAAACACCTGATGGTCTAATAAAGAATTGAAAGGCCAATGGCAAGGCAGGAGAAAGGATAGGCGGGGCAGGCAGGCAGAGAGAAGATATAGAAGGAGAAATCTGGGAGAAAGAGAAGGAACAAGAAATGAAGGAGGAGGACCCTAGGGGCCGGCCACCCAGCCACCCAGCCACCCAGCCACCCAGCCACCCAGCCACCCAGCCACCCAGCCACCCAGCCAGCCACGGAGTAGGAGTAAGAGTAAGATTTATGGAAGTAAGAGAATAGGAAAAGTCCAGAGGCAAAAAGTAGACGGTATAATTTAAGAAAAGCTGGCAAGAAACAAGCCAAGCTAAGGCTGGGAATTCATAACTAAGAATAAGACTCCATGTGTGTGAATTATTTGGGAGTTGGTTGGTGGGTCCCCCAAAACAGCCAAAAACAACCAACAACAAATTTGTTATGCTCCTATAACCCTGACGACTTTTGCCCTCCAAATCCCCCCCGCCCACCTCCGTTTGCAAACTCCCTAACTCTAGGCTATAAAAACCTTGTCTTCCTCATGTCCAGTGCTGATTTCTTGAACCCCGCTTTTAGAGAGAGGTGGCTCATGTACATGAATAAAAAAGCTTGCTTTAATTAATTTGGCCATGATGATTTGGGGCAGTGGCCTTTCTCCTCACACCTTTGGGTTTAAAAAGTTCTGCCTGATGGAAAGTTCTGGGGATGGGCAGTGGTGACCAGCACAAGACATATGATGTATTAACACCATGGAACCATGTGTTTAAAATGTTCACGATGCTAACTTTCATGTTATGTCTACTTTGCCACAATAAAAACAACGGGGAACATCTGCTCATCTGCTCGTCTTTTTCTGAGAGACAGCTGTCCTGTGGGGGTCCAGTCAAGAGGACTCATGTTACAGGCGTGCCCAGCCCAGGACGGTTTAGGCCTCAGGACTCAGATACAGAAAGAGAAAAGGGTGAGCACTGCATCTGGTCAAGCTGACCTGGAGACTAAGTTTATTCTTCACCAGGATCCAACAGCTGGGTTCCCCAGGCAACCTTCCTGAGCTCTGGTGATGGGGTGGGATGGTGCCGCATCCTCCTGCTAAGGGCTCCATATGAAGCCCTTGTGTGCCCACACTCTCCACAGCTAATCACCACCACAGTTTTGTCTGTGTTGGGCTGGCCACTGCGGAGCTGATGGCCTGAATGACCCATGGCAGCCTGCAGGCAGAGGTCCCAGAGAGGACAAAGGGGCAGGCGAGGGGAAGCAGCTGGAGGACAGGCCATGTTCAGGGAGGGGCGTGAAGAACTCAGGGTACAGAGCAAGTGCTCTCTTTCCACAATGGTCCGATTTCACTTTCTGTAAACTGGAGTGGCAAGGCCACCTTGCTGATGTCTGGTAGGACAGAAGACGACCTGACTCTCAGTGTGCTACTCAGCTGCTGTCTAGCCACTGTGACATCCAAAGATGGCCCCTCGGCACCTGCCAGCCTTGACACACCTGCCGCTCACTCGCTCCATACCTGCCTTGACCTCACTTAGTTTTCACAGTCAAAGCAAAGGACAGCTGAAGGGTTCCAACCAAGGCCAGAGACAGGGTGGTGGCTAGTCCAGGGTAGGTGACGCTCTGGAAGGGCCTCGGCCTTCACCTGAAGAGCCAGCCTTCCTGCCTACCTCGAGAATCTCTCTCCTCTGTGAAGTTGGCTTGCTCTGTCCACTCAAAAGAACGCGAACTCCAACACTCACAGCTGAGTGCGACAAGAAACTAACCACTCTGAACTTCACTGCCCTTGGACACAGAATGGTCAGACTTACATCACAGATTTGCTACATCTACTATTAATTAAATAAAAAAAAATCTGGAAAAACTCCAAAGGAGAGATGAAGGCCAGGGGCTGGCAAGGAGCAGAGAAAGGACTCACAAGATCTCGTATTGAATAGGCCCGTGGCAGCCACCGCTCCAGGCTCTTTCAGGCCCGCAGGACTCGGGCTCTAAGCTCCGGTGCCCACCAGAACACCCTCTGCCATCTAACCTAGCCTGTGTGTGACCTCTGCTCCCTGCCCCCAGGAACCCTGGGAAGTAGCTATGTGTGACCCTGGGCCTGCCACTCTTGTTCAGAAGGAAGGATGAAATGGTGAGTTCCAGGTACCAAGAGGGCTCGAGAACTGCTGCCTACAGCCCACAGCCTGCTCCGCTGCACCGCCCAGCAGCTGTTAGCAATCGACTGGGCCCCAAGAGCCAGGCAGCTCTCTCCCCAGAGGCCTGGAGCAGTCGCTCTCAGGCCAAGAACGCAGCTAGGGAGCCAGTAAGGAGGAGGAGGGGAGAGGAAAATCACTGGTACTGGCCCCAGCCAGTGCTGGGGGGGGGGGGCTGGCCTGGAGAGAGGGGAGCTGGGGCCTGGCAGGCTCTTCCTGAACCATGGACTTGGTCCCATGCCTTGACCCCTGTCCAAGCTAAAGGAACAGTGGGTGTACTTGGGGCCCAGTACTCCTCTGGAACTTGCCTTCTCTTTGGCATCCAGAAACAGGAGACGGGAACAGGCAGGCCTTTGTGAGGAAGAGAAAAGGCTCCTGCCTGCCTGCTTGCCGGGCCCCAGGTCCTACCATGATAGAGCCTACCCGGGCCTAGGGACCCATAACTTCCAGAGCTGAAGTATCAAGCTCTTCAGACCATGTCCACACCCACAGTCACACATACACCACGTGACTACGTCACACACCAGGCCTTGTGCTCCTTAGACCTGTGCCCAGGGTCTACTTTGTAGATTAATTTACATCACTCTTGCCTTCGTCATGATTCACTCACAGACACACTCTGCTATGTGCTGTCGTCCATGGCCATTGTACCGGGTCTCAGTACACACACCACATCCTTGCTTTGGACCCATAAACGGTGGTCCTCACCCCAGGGGCATTCACAGCCTAAGGAGCAGGGGCAATACAATGTTATAGTTAAGGACCCATCCCCAGCCTCTGTCACCACGTGACCTTGCCAAAGCAACTTGTCCTGTCAGCCAGCACCTCGACTTCTTTGGCTGTGACAGTCACATTTCTCTGGCAGGGTTGCTGTGTAGATTAAAGCAGATAACACACTGCTGTGCATCCCAGCGCTTGGCATGCTGGGTAAGTGCTTTGAAATGTTGCCTGAGTCTGTGTGCTGTGCACCAGGGCCCATGTGCACGCACTGTGTGCCCATTGTCTGCTGCGCATGAGACACTGCATGCCGGGGTTATCCTAACAGGCTGTATGTATGTATGGGGTTATCCTAACAGGCTGCAAGAGGGTGCAGTGATGTCTTCTCATACTGAGAAGACCTCCTAGGTTCAGAGCAGGATAGCAATTTGCACAGGGCCAGAAAGTGGGGGAGCAAGACACAGATGCTGACAAGGGGGTTGCGGGGGGAGACACAGACACTGGTTAGCTGTGGGCAGTGGAGGAGAGACTTTGAGCAGGGAGCACAGGGATCATTCTGGAGTAATTAAGTGTTCTTGCTAGCTGTGGTGACGCACGCCATTAACCCCAGCACTCAGGAGGCAGAGGCAGGTGGATCTCTGCGAGTTCGAGCCAGCCTGGTCTACATAGCAGGTTTCTGGGAAGCCAGGGCTACATAGAGATACCCTGTCTCAAAAAAAAAAAAAAAGAAAAAGAAAGGAAAGGAAGGATGGAGGGAGAGATGAGGAGAGAGGGAGAGAAAAGTCTCTCAAGCATGATTGTGGACATGGTTGTAAGACCCCAAATTCACTAAGAATCCCAGTTCATAAAATGGAGGATATATATAATGTGAATTTAATTAGTTATGTGAATTATATTCCAGGAACGTTGTGGAAACCAAAGTCCTCCTGTTTAGCTGAGGCAGTGAGCTTTCCATTGTCAACTACCTGAAGCCGAGCAGAGTAGCCCAGAGCCACTGACAGCAGAGAGAGGCTGTGAACGTATGCACACCCGAGGTGGGCAGGCAAAGCCACTGGGAGAGTTTGGAAAGAACACAAACGCCCAGGCACAGCCCAGCCTTGGAATGTGTAGATCTGGGCGGGGTCCTGGAACTCAAGTCTAAGGGTCAGCTACCAATGGGAACCACGAGGCAAAACCACAGTTGGGGAAACTGAGGCTAAGCAGGAGAGGGGGTCTGTCGGGTCTGGTTGATCAAACAGCAGGACAGCTGGACTAACTGGTCCCTTCCTGTTTTCTCTCCTTTCCCTCCAGGGCGGGGCCTCCCCTGCCATCAGCTGTGACTCAGACTCTGAGTCATCCTGTGGCACCACAGAGGGAACTTCTTAAGAAAAACAATCCCTAACACAGAGCTCCCCGGATCTTGGGAACAGGATAGGCCCAGTGGGCTGGGAGAAGGAGAGAGAAAGATCAGGGCGGTGTGGGAGGCCAGGGCTCCCCAAACCTGACTGCTCTTAGTCACTGATGTGTGCAGTGCACCCTATAAGGAGCCTCAGTGTGCTCACCTGCAAATAAAACCTCCTTCTGCATACAGAAGCTCCATATACAACAGGCATCATGACAAGAGCTGTGTGTGTGTGTGCATGCATGTGCAGATTTGTGCAGATGTGTGTGTGTGCAGATTATGTGTATGTGTGTGTACAGATGTGTGTAAATATATGTGTGTGTACGTGTGTGCAGATAAGTGTGTGCAGATGTGTGTACGTGTGTGCAGATATGTGTGTGCGTGTGTGTGTGTGTGTGCATGCATGTGCAGATGTGTGTGTGCAGATTGTGTGTATGTGTGTGTGCAGATGTGTGTATATATATGTGTGTGTGTACTGATGTGTGTGCAGATATGTGTGTATATATGTGTGTGCAGATGTGTGTATATGTGTGTGTACAGATATGTGTGTGTGCATGTGTGCACGTGCTCACAGATGTATGTTCTCATACATGTAGAGGTTAGAGATCAAGGTCAGCTGTCTTCCTCAATCATTCTCCACCATATTTGGGGGGCATGTTTCCTCCTTGAACCCGGAGCTCACATTGGCTCAGACAGTCTAGACAGCAAGCCCTTGGGGATCCTCCTGTCTCTGCCTTCGCTTCCCTGGTTATGTAGGTGTGAGGGACCCAACAGGCACGAGGGGCCAACACTCCACCTTTTAAACCATCTCCTCAGCCCTGTGATAGGAACTTCATAAGCACCATTTTCCTGAACCCTCACTAAAGCTTATGGCTGGCATCATCCAATTTTATAGATGGGAAAACTGAGGCTGAAGACTGCACAGTCAGGAAATGCAGAGCAGAATTAGACCCAGGGCTAGAGTTTGAAGCCTGTTCCTCTCTCCCTGCTTCTTTAAAAGCACCTGCGTGGGCTGGGGGTGGTGCAGCGGTTAGGGCCCGGGTTGGGCTCCTAGCACTTCATGGCAGATCACAAACATCCCTAACTGCAGTTGCAGGAGACCCAATGCCCTCCTCTGGTCTCCTTAGCACCAGGAACACACACAGTGCTAAAGAGAGGTAGACAGAACATATAAAATGAAAATAAATGCATCTTGTCTTATTCTTATTTAAGATGTATTTACTTTTATGTTTATGGGTGTTCTGCCCGTATGTATGGCTCTGCACCATGTGCATGTAGTGCCCTTGGAGGCCAGAAGAGGGCACCAGAACAGGCAGAGAGCCTAACTGGTAGCTAAACTGTGGCCTTGCGGGATCAGGCTTCAGAGAGCCCCTGGATTCCCTGCTACTCACCATTCCTCAGCCACAGCGGGGCAGGGCAGAGGGATACGGCCTCTTGACACAGGCCGGGTAATCACAAGGGCCTATAAATAGACCCTGTGGCTTGGGCGGAACTCGCTATGCCAGGCCCAGCTCCACAGGCACCAGAGCACAAATGGGCCAGAAATGGCTCTTCTCCCTCACACAGCTAACTAAAACTTCTTCAGGAAGCCATTGTTCACACTCCTTGGAGGAAGAGGATTTGAGCAAAGAGCCCCGCTTGCCTAGTGGGGATACTGGACCTGGGCCAAGGCTCCTTTTCTGCTTCCTCCTTCCACTACTTCTGTCTGGGACCCAGTTTCCCAAAATGTGAACTGGGGAGGTCAGTGTGCTCCCTTGGGCCCTTCCAGCCTGGATGCTCTTGATCTGTCTGTGACAGCCTCTGCCTCTCAAATATCTGTTTCATTGTGTCCTGCCCCAATCAACTTGGAAGTTGTATTTTATCATTAATTCAGTGCTGGGGCCGATCCCAGGCAGGCCCTCCATTGCCTGAGCCACATCCACGGCCCCTGGGGTACATTTCAAATTAAATTTTACTGTTATTGTTGTCTAGGATTTTTGAGGACCTCACCATCCCAAGTGCTGAGGGCAGAGGATGAAGAGGCGAACAAGTCCTAACCAGTCCTCGCCTGGCCTGGGTGCAAGAGGCATTTCCAGCCCCACCCCCCCAAACCCTGCTGGGAACATGGAGTTTCTGGTTCAGACTGCAGACAAACAGGACTCCCCACAGGGCAGCCTGTGACCTGGGCAGGGCCCTAACTTTACAGTAAAGGCTCCCCAGCCATCCCATGTACACGCATGTGCTACAGACCTTCCTCCCCAGTTCACTCCCGTCACCATCCAAGCCCTACTTCGTGGATGCAGAAAACGAGGCTGAGAGGGACTGGAGAGTGGGAGAGACCCGGGCTCAGACTCTCTCACTCCTGGAGTCCAGGGCTGCAGTGGTCTGACTCAATTCAGCCTACTGGACAGTGGGAACAGAACCGGACAAGAGCAAAGAATGCAGAGAGACGGGCAGGTTATTCCTGTGTGTCTGTCTGTCTGTCTGTCTGTGTCCTGGAGTGGCAGGGCTTCACTGGTAACACACATTCTCCCCTATGGGATTCCAGCATTGCCCTCTCTGACCCGCCCTCCTGTGTGTGTGTGTCTGTCTGTCTGTCTGTCTGTCTGTCTGTCTGTCTGTGTCCTGGAGTGGCAGGGCTTCACTGGTAACACACATTCTCCCCTATGGGATTCCAGCATTGCTCTCTCTGACCCGCCCTCCTCTTTGCCTGCCACCAATTGATTGCTCTGAAATCCTGTCAATCAAGTCACTCCTCTTCTCAACAGCATTCCAGATCTCTCCAGACCTGACTCACTTGTCAGGTGAGTCAGGCAGGGACACAGGGCTCCTCCAGGTGACCAGCCCTTTGCACATAATCCTCTTGCCTGGAACACTCAACTCCCCATCCCAGCCCAGCATTCATCTCACGGGCAGGAAAAGCTGACTGGTCCCCTGGGCATCTTGGAAAGTATCTGGGTATCAGCCACCATTGCCCCCTCAGGGATTACAGAGGCTCTCCTCTTGCAGGATGGTACAGTTCACCACCCACCCCAGTGCAAGAGTCAGCAAGGGTTGGCTGGGCAACGGGCATGGGTGGGGGTAGGTGGCGGCAAAGAGCCAAAAGAATCCTGGGCAAGCGCACATTTCCCAGGACTTCTCAATATCAGGGGGCACTTCAGTGAGGAAAACCCTGAAACAACACCATGCAGGGTCTTAAGATGTGTGTGCGTGTGTATCATGGTTCCACTAATGAAGTTCTCCAAGTCTCCCACTAGGAAGCTCCTAACAGTCTCCAGTAGCCTGGAGTGAAATCCACAGTGGAGTTCAGCATGGCCTGGAAGCTCCTGGTCCCTTGCCTGGCCATTCCCCTCCCTCTGAGGGATGCCCTCCCTTCCTAGCTCACCCTGCCATCCAGCACTCCCCCCCAGCTGTTCCCTTAACCCATCAGATCCTCCTCAGGCGAAGAAAAAAGAAGCCATGGCAGGCATAACCATCTCCACAAGACCCAGGAGGTACGGAAAGGTTTTATTCTTTGCTCCTTCTCCAACCCCTAGCTCCCAGCCTAGACATCTGTCACATGATTCTGTGAATGAATGGATTCCAGAATCTGCTGAACATTTAAGTTCAGAAAAACAAAGCCCTGTGCATAGTCAGAAAGGGTGGGGTGGGGCAGCTTGGGAAACACGGCTCAGCCTTCCAGTGGCAAGGGAGAGAATGTTCCAGATGGAGAAGAAGGAATCAATGTGCCAGAGACTTGGGACAAGGACATCTGAGGACCTGACAGGAGGGCACCAAGTCACCCTCCTTACCTGCTTACACCCAAGTTCATGGAGGTGAGCGTGAGGCGGGTGCAGTCCAGGGGATGAAGGAGCTGCAAGGGTGAACAGGCAGGCCCCTGAGACATTCAGCCAGGCCCGAGCAGGTCTGGCTGTGGCCCTGTGGTGGTTTCCGAAGTTGGGCAGGCAGAATGCAAGGGCCTGGGGACATGGCTCGCAAAAGCATTCACGGAAAAGGACTCCCCTGCCTCTGGACTGTCAGAAGCAGGCACCCCAGAAGCCAGGTGTGATCCTTCAGTGGCAGCTGAGGAGAGGCCAGGCCTCTGGGTCTAGAGAACCTTCTAGAAACCCCTGGCTCCAAGGACTAAGTACCAATGGCCCTCTCATCTAGACTTTAAGAGGGACAGAGCCATGGTCAGCTCCTGTCACCGCCTGGCAGCTGGGTGCAGTGGAGCATTGGGAAATACAGGCACTCACTTCCTGCTTCTTTTGGCAAGCAACAGTGATACCATGGGCTGGCCATTGACGCTGTGGGCTAGCCATTGACGCTGTGGGCTGGAGGGCACTTTCCTTTCTCCTCACACAATTAGAAGTTCTCTTCTGTTCAGGTGGAAACCTCTCACAGCGACCCCCATGGCTTTTCAGCTCACAAAGGAGGCATCTGCAGTCCTGTCTGATCCCCACAACCACCTTGTCAGACAAGGAGGGACCCAATGTACCGCCTTACAGGAGGAAAAGCCCAGGGCCTGCTTGGGAGGGAATCTGTGTCTCCTGGCTTGTAGCCCAGCACTCTGCATTCCGCCCAGCGCCCAGCCTCCCAGTGCCCTGCACCTCAGGCTCGCCTGGGAACCTGATAGGTGGCCCGCCCACCCAGCCAGCCAGGTGGGGATGACTCATCCACCCTGGCATGACTCACTCCTCAGGTGCCTCCTTGGGCCAACAAGCAGGGGGCTTGGTGGCCACAGCCCAACTTCTTGCACCTCTCTACAACCTGCAGGGAGAGTTCCTACCTCGCCTCCTCAAGGAACCCACCCCACGATAGCGCTCCCAGGAGGCTTGAGCACAGCAAGCAAGAAGCCCCGCCAGGGTGAGAGCAGGCATCAGGGTGCTCAGCCTGCCTCACCCCTCCCCTCAGGACCGCCCTCATCCCTGCCTCATCCCTGCCCTCACCTGCCTTTCCCTTGGTGAGGAGCAGATGAGGTAATGAATAAACAGTATGTCCACAAAGGGAAAAACTTTTAATCCACAAAGGCTGTTCAGCTGCTCGCACTCTGGAATCATCTAGACTCCCCAGGACACTAGGTGGTCAGTGGTTCTGTGTTGTTCTACCTACCTTACAGGGTTGTACAAGGAGAAGAGAGCCACTCGGTGAGGAGATGCTGTGACAGCTGCCCAGTCACAGCCGAAGAAGAGTCGGTGGTACCTGGAAAGGGCCAGGAATCTCAGTGTCAGTGTCTAAGGTAAATCCTGCCTACCTGCGTAGCTCCAGCAAGGAGACACTCACTTCCTGACAGTGGTGCCCACACCTGCTCCTGGAGGGTTGAGCTGGCCAAGAGTGGCCTCAGGATGCCAGGCTATGAGCTCCTCGGAGTAACTGCTTCACTCTGAGACTGTGGCCCAGTCCATGACCTGGCAAACGCCACCTCCGGTGCATGTCAGAAGAGGGCTGGAGGACCACCCTATCCTAATCCCAGACCAGCAGTGGGTTGTACAGCTGAGCCCTCCAGCCCCTGCCTTCCAGGGACAACCTGGAACTTCAATCCTATCATTGTGTCCCTGTCCCAGTCAGCTCCTTCCAGCTCTGGAAGATCTTGCTACCCAAACCAGCTTCTTCCAGCCAGGGGGAGATCAGGATGCCATCACAGTGGGGTCTCACAGACCTCACAGATGAGGATACAACAGGTCCCCCCCTAACCACAGCGTACGGCCCAGACATTGCTGGTGGCTTCTGCAGTGTTGGTAGGGGACACAGCAGCGGACCTGAAGCCACAGACAGAGAGGTCAGAGGTCACATGTTTATCTAGGTCTGGGGAACTGGAGTTAGATGGCGCTTCTGCAGGCCTTTCTCACATATCTCGCAGAAAATCCCTAATTCCTAGAGTACACAAAGCACAATGGGAGTTTGTTTTTGAAAATGACAGACAACTATGAACACTATTAACTCCAAACCAGTCTCACTTGAGGGAGGAGGCTGCATACGTTCCCAAGTGCACCCCTTTCCCATTCAGCAAAGGATACCCCCGGCCACCATCTCCCATCCACACAAGGACCCAAGCAGCAACCCCCCCAACCTCCAGCTCGGCCTCTGACTGTACCGGAACACACCTCCACCCTCCATCCCCACTGGACCTCTCAGTTGGACAGTCCGTCTCTGGCTCCCTCACAATGCAAACCTCCTCAGAGCAGGCCCAGACCACGTCACTGGGTGTCTCAGATTGCTGTGGCTCCACACAGCCCCTAGACTAGGTGCAGGATCCTTTACCTACTTTTCAGCACCTGCTCTTTGTGGTCTGTCGTGGCCAACCACTTGGACCACAGTTCTCATCCACTGCCATCTTCATCTGGACCTGCCAGGCTCCAGCCAGTGTCTTCCGTTCCTTGTATCCTCTGTGCACGTTTTGTATGCACTGTTTTCTTGAATCCTCTCGGCCCCTAGGTTCTCTGCCATACTAAACTGCAGCAGTCTATTTCTGTATTGCTCTCTCCCAGCAGACTAAGATCTGTTCATGCTACCCCAGACCCTGCCTGCTGCAGCTCCAGATTCTCCAAAGGAAGAAGCCTGGGAACAATATGTTTGCACACATGGCTGACACATGCTCACAGGCACATTCCCACAGAGCTTGCTCACAGTACAGATACTGCCATCTATGGGCAAGAACACGACACTCTTCTAGACGGACACCAGCTTCCATGCTTGGATGAGTTGACAATGAGCCCAGCTAAGTCTGGGCTTGCAGGTTTTCCCTTCTGGAAAGACTGTAGCAACTCAAACAAAATCTGTAAGCAGTTGATACTACTAGCTAGGTCTCCACCCACACGCTCCCAATGGAACAAGAAAGAGAGGGTTTCTGTTGCAGCCTCCCAGTCCCCGAGGCCAGCTCCAGGCTGCTGGTTCTGAGTCTGCCTGTGCACTACCTCAGAGCTGGGGGGGGTGGGGGGGGTGGGGGCGGGGGAGGCAGCTCCCAAGAGTCAGGCTGTCCACCAAGGAAAGGTTAACCTCTGGGCGGGGAGCTCATTGACAGTGTGCTGCCACCAGGGACTCACCCGGTGCATTCTGCCTGTGAGTGGTGGAGGCTACAGCAGTGGCCCTTCTCACCCTACAAGACCCCTCCCGAGTCACCAGTGGGACTTCTGGACTTGATGTCCAGTCACATCACAAGGATTCAAATGGCCACCTCCGGTGACAAGTTGTCACTTTGGTACACTTCCTAGGTATCAGACCCTACAGGCAATACAGGAAGTCTGCTAGGCAAGTATCATGCCACTTGCCAAGTGAGACCTCAGGCTCAGAGGGGCAAAGTAAGGCGCCATGGGTCAGGTCACACAGTCAGGATGTCCAGACAGACCACTGCTCTTGGGTCTAGCTTACTCAGTACCCAGCTATAAATAAGGTTAGGCCTCCTGCTCACTTGGAGAAAGACCCGAAGCTTTGGTTGCTCGGGTTTACAGTGAACTTGTGCAGAGGGTTACGGGGTCCATGATCTGAGCCACGGCAGGCCACTGCTGTCTCTTGTATATGCTTCTTGGTTTTTATTGTTGTTTTCCCTCCCTTTCTTCTGTTTTCATTCTATTTTATCGATTGGTTAAAAAAAACATTCTTAGCTCAGAGCCAAACAGAAATAGAGTGAGCCGCTCCAGCAACAGTTTTCGTTCACATATTTACTGAGAAGAATGTTTATCATCTTAAGGGTAAAACCTTTCTGGTAGTGATGTTTACCAAAGCCCACTGCGGCCCTTCAGATGGCACTCCACTGAGACACTTGCTCCTGTTGAAGGCCCTACCTCGCCATGACTTGGCAGGAAACTATTTCAACAGCTGCTCACATTCTAGAAACAGTGGACTAAAGTCTGGCCCAGAGTTTGAAGAGAAGAGGGAGGCAGACAGGATGGGGAGAAGAAATCTCCAGGGAGAGATATGAGAAGACCTGGGTCGGGGGCAGCTGAGCTCTGAGAAGACCTGGGTCGGGGGCAGCTGAGCTCTGAGA